AGCCTGGGTGTGGCAGTGTCCCCTGGCACGAGGAGCCAAGGCCAGGCTGGGAATGACAAGGAGCACCAGGTCCCAGGGAGATGGCACAGCCCCGAGCCTGCGGGCTGCCACAGCCCCATTCCACTGCTAATGATCTCCTGATCTTCATTAAACGAGGGAGGGAGGGACACAGACAGACCCCGCAGGCACAGCGTGGGCTGACCCAGCTCCAGAGGGGCTGGGGAGGAGATGGGAGCGGGTCCATGCCAGGGGGAACACCAGGACAGTGCCAGGGAAGCACCTGCCACAGCAAGGAGGGGACAGGATGAGTCCCACCAGTCCAGCAAGGGACAAGTGCCTGGTGTGAGGTTCCTGGCAGGGATTTGGGACCATCCTTGGCTCTGAGGGAGCTTCTCACCCCTGCAACACACTGAGCACACGGGCAGCACCCATCACTGGGCAGGATGGGCCCCTCTGGGTCAGCCCTCTCCTTCTCCCAGCCTCCCTACCCGCGCTGGGGCTCAAACTCCATCCTCTGCTCTCCCTGCCTCCATGGCATTCTCCCAAACCCAAGGAATTGCCTGTTCCTTCCTCTGAGGAGCTCCTCCATCCCCACATGGAGCAGAGAAGCCCTGGTGGCCCCAGGGAGCTGGGCTGGCAAAGTCTGGCAGCCAAAGGAAAGGCCCTGTGCTGGGGAGAGGAGGAGAGCCCCAGGCCCTGGCACCCCCCAAGCCCCCCTGCAGCAGGTGCCCCACAGCTGGGCAGGAAGGGGAACCAGAACAGGGAAGTGCAGCACGGAAGGGCTTTGGGGAAGTCAGAGCTGAGCTAATTCTGCAGAGGGAACAACTCCCCCAGACAAGTTCCCTGTCAGGAACAAGTGCAAGTCACTGCAGGAAAGGCAGATCAGGAATCCTGACCCCTGCTGCACCCACTGCCCCTCACACACAGACCCCAAACCCTGGGCGTTGAGCCCTGGAGCTCCCTGCCTGCACCTGCAACCTGTCCCAGGCCCATGGGAGATCTCTGGGACAGGGACAAATGGAAATGGTTCTGCAGAGAGGGAGGGACCAGGGAATGGCCACTAAGGGCTTTAGCCAGCCCAGGACACCTTGGACCCTCCTCCTGCCATCAGCCTCACCCTCACCCTGCAAATCAGGGATTTTGGGTTCCCAGGCAGGGAGATCCAGGGCCAGCCCTGCAGGTGTTCCCTCCTGTCCCCTCAGTGTCCCCTCCCTTGCTGCTCACCCTGGGCCAAGGGAAAGGTCCCCAAGTCCTCTGGAGAGGGACTGGGGACAAGGCTGGAGGGACAGGGCACAGGGAATGGATCCCACTGCCAGAGGGCAGGGATGGACGGGATATTGGGAATTGGGAATTGCTCCCTGAGTGGGTGGGGAGGGGCTGGGCTGGAATTCCCAGAGCAGCTGGGGCTGTCCCTGGATCCCTGGCAGTGCCCAAGGCCAGGTTGGACATTGGGGCTTGGATCCACCTGGGACAGTGGGAGGTGTCCCTGCCATGGCAGGGGTGGCACTGGGTGACTTTTACAGCCCCTTCCAAGCCAAAGCACTCCAGGGCTCTCAGCTGATGGGCTGGGTGTGCAGGGGAGAGTCCCTGGCTCGCTGCCACCCCACAGGATGAGCCCCACGTGGGACTCCAAGGGCATTTCCTGGATGTTGGGAAGCAGAAGCAACAGCTGCCTTGTGAGTTCCCAAAAATCCCTCTTTTCCTGGAGCCTGGCTTTGCACAGCACAGGAGCTGCAGGATCAGGTCAGAGGAGGGAGGTGAGGACCAGGACATCCTGCCCAGGGCTCTCTGGATGCACAAAGGCTCCATGCAAAGGGGGAAATGATGCTCAGAGCTTGCTTTGCCTGCCAAGCCCAATCCCTGGAGCTGCCTGAGCGTGGGACAAACCCTGGGACGCCCAAAAAGGCCATGAGAGCTCTCAGGCTGCTCTTGTGCAACTCCAGGAGTTGATTTTGCCCTGGCAAACACCGAAATGGCCCAGGCTGAGCAGCACAAGGCAGCTCGTAAACACCCCGGCCCCCCTTCCCGGGGAAGAGTCCAAGCTTGACGGAACATTTTCCAGCAGCCGAAAACAAGGATAACAATTATCACTGCCCAAGTTCCTGTGCAATAAAACCCTGCAGGGAAATGGGAGCAAGGTCAGCACACTGACAAGGGATGCTTTGCTGGAGCACGCTCCCCCTGCCCTGGCAGAGGGCAGAGCTCAGCCCCACAGCCCCGTTATCTCCTCAGCACAGCCCTGCCTGGGCCCTGCAGGGCCAGCCCCAGGGTGGGAGCCTCTGTTTGTTTTGCTCTTTCTAATCTGGGACTGGAAGTTTCCTCCTGAACAAAGTTGTTTCCAGACCTCAGAGCCGGCTGGAAGCTCCCAAAGAGCCAGAACCCCCCGAGCTCCCAATGATCCTTCTCCCACCCAGCTGGGCAAGCTCCAGCCCCGGGGATTCTCCTCCAAACACCAGCGTGGCCCCTCCAGGCTGCAGAGTGGCACAGGGTGAGAGCTTCCCTCATGTTTTCTGTGCCCATTTCCATCCTCGGGGCCACAGGTGAAAACAGAGTTTTAAAAGCTCCTGTGATCCTGAATGCCTCAAGGGGAAGTGAATTTTCCTTATGCAAGCAAAGCTACAGGAAGGGAGGGAGACAGACAGCAAATGAGAGAACCATGGAATGGGTTTGGCTGGAAGGGAGCAAAAAGCTCATCCCAGTCCATCCCTTCCCCTGTCCCAGGTGGATTCAAGCCCCAGTGTCCAGCCTGGCCTTGGGCACTGCCAGGGATCCAGGGGCAGCCCCAGCTGCTCTGGGAATTCCAGCCCAGGCAGGAATTCCTTGCCAAGATCCCAGCCCAATCTCCCCTTTCCCAGTGGGAGCCATTCCCTGGCTCCTGTCCCTGCAGGCCTTGTCCCCAGCCCCTCTGCAGCTCTCCTGGAGCCCCTGCAGGCCCTGCCAGGGGCTCTGAGCTCTGCCTGGAGCCTTCCCTTCTCCAGGGCAACATTCCCAGCTCTGCCAGCCTGGCTCCAGAGCAGAGGGGCTCCAGAACCCTGGAATGGTTTGGGTTTTGGGACCTTTTTCTCTTCAGGCCCTGGAAGGTGCTGGATGGTCTCCCTGGAGCCTTCTCCAAGCCCCTGGGGCTCTCCAGCCTGCAGGGCTGGTGTCACGGGGTGACACAGGCTGGACATTGCTCCCGTGAGATTAACAGCCCCTGACGGGACCTTTGGGATCCCAGGAGCCGGGAGCAGGCCCTGGCCAGGAGCAGGCCTTGGGGGGCTCCCGCTCTGCCCAGCTCCACAAAAACCTCCCCCAGGGAAAAGCCACGGGCTTTTCCCACATCCCCGGGTTCCAGCAGGCCCCAGGAATGCCGGCCCAGCCCCCGAGCCCGCCCAGCTCCGGCGTTTTGCTAAGAAAAGCAGAATAAAGCAGAATAAGCGCGGGGGAGCTGCCAGCCGTGTGCCCGGGGCTCCTCACGCCTCCCCCGGCCCACGCTCCCCTCTGGGCCCGCCGGGAGCCTCCGGGATGGGGAAATGCGTTTGCTCCACAGGGAAAGTTCCCCCAGCCCGTTTTGCTGCTAATTTTTGTGGCTGTGAGGGAAGGGAAGGAGGGAGGGAGGGAGGCTCCCTGTGAGGCCGCAGCTCCGGGCACAGAGCCAGCACAGCTGCCGGGTTCGGGGGGCCGGGGGGCACTGCCAGCCCTGCCCGAACAACGCCCCCAAAACTCCTTCCCTGCAGGAATCCCAGCTGCATTCCTGCCCTTCTGTGCTGGGCAAAGGCTGGAAAACGTCCTGGTTGTTGTAAACCCTTCTGGGCAGGGAGGAGGAGAGGCAATTCCCCCCATGCACAGCGCGGGGTTGGGGTCTGCACCCCAAACTGGGGACCCTCCGCCACAAACCAGGTGACAACGGGGGGGCTGCAAAACCACCGCAGCCACCAGGGGACACCTGGTGGGACAAACCACCAGGGGACAAACAGCGAGGTGCAGGAGGGACAGAGCCCTGGGGATGCAGGGGGACCGCGGGCCATGCTGTGCCCTGCCCGGGGATGGATGCCCCGGTGCCCTGCCCGGGGATGGATGCCCCGGTGCCCTGCCCGGGGATGGATGCTCCAGTGCCCTGCCCGGGGATGGGTGCTCCGGTGCCCTGCCCGGGGATGGACGCCCCGGTGCCCTGCCCGGGGATGGACGCTCCGGTGCCCTGCCCAGCACAATTCCCTCCCGGGGATCTTGGTACCCCCGTACCACAGCCCCTTCCTGGCACAGCCGGGATGTCCCACCCCTCCTGCATGTCCTTCCCGGGGCATCCCCAGGCCCTGCCATGCCCCGAGTCCTTCCGGGGGGGTGACACAGCCAGCCCAGACTGGGAACCCCTCCCCAGGACACCCCGGGCCACCCTCCTGCGGCGGGCATGGCCACGGACAGAGCGGGAGCCCCTCAAAGTCCAGACGGGCACGCCCGGACCCGCCACACCCCAACCCTCGTGGCACGTCCTGAGGGTGCCCATGGAAGCCGTGATGCCCTTCCTCCTCCAGCAGCCGTCCTGGGGACACAGGGACCCCGCAATGCCCACCCTGGGGCATAGTGACACAGTGACAGCCATGCCAGGGCACTGGGGGATTCCATGTGCCCACCCTAGGGTATACAGTGACACAGTGACAGCCATGCCAGGGCACTGGGGGGCTCTGAGTGCCCACCCTGGGGCACAGTGACACAGTGACAGCCGTACCAGGGCACTGGGAGATTCCATGTGCCCACCCTGGGGCACAGTGACAGCCATGCCAGAGCACTGGGGGATTCCATGTGCCCACCCTGGGACACACAGTGACCCTGCTGCCTCTCCAGGGGTACCCGGGCACGCCGTGACACCACCGTGGGACACACGAGGACCCCAGGACACCAATCCCCGGGCACATGGGGGGTCCATGTGCCCACCCTGGGACTCCCTGACGCCCACCCCGGAGCCGCCCAGTGCAGCCCCAGCCCCGGCCCCAGCCCCGCTCCCGCGGCCGCCCCGCACTCACCGCTCGTCGGGCTCGCGGCCGCGCTGCCGGGCGGGCTCCAGGGGCACCAGGGCCTGGCCCAGGAACCGGTCCATGCCCACGAGCGCCCGGTGCATCACCGTGAGCACCAGCTCGGGGCAGGCCCCGGGCTCGGGGGGCAGCTCGAAGGCACATTCCTCCCTCCACTCGGGGCTGCCGCCGCTCTTCTCGGCCACCGAGGTGCTGTACTTCTCGCGGCCCAGCTGGATCACGGTGTACGCGTCGCTGCCGCCCGCTTTGCCTTTGCCGCCGCCCTTGCAGCGCAGCCCGCGGGCCCGCACCACCGTCACCTGGACGTGCGTGGGCAGCCAGGCCGGGCAGCCCTCGGCGGGCAGCGCGGCCGCCCGCAGCAGCGCCATGGCCGGACCGGGCCGGGCCGGGCCGGGCGGGGCGGGGCCGGGAGAAGCGGCCGGGCCGGGCCCCGCTCCGGAGCCGCCGCTGCCGCAGCACGAGCGACACCGGCGGCTGGCCCCGCCCACACGGCGCAGGGCCCGCCAGCAACGGCGCTCTGACCACGCCCCACAACGCGCTCTGCTCCGCCCCGCTCGGCTTTAGCCCCGCCCCAACCGGCCCTGCCGCGCGTTAGCCCCGCCCCTGGCTCTTAACCACGCCCCACAGGCAGCTCTTGTCCCGCCCCCGGCTCTTAACCACGCCCCACAGGCAGCTCTTGTCCCGCCCCCGGCTCTTAACCACGCCCCACAGGCAGCTCTTGTCCCGCCCCTGACTCTTCACCACGCCCCACTGCAGCCCTTGCCCTGCCCCATCCTCATTGACTCCGCCCCCGGCTATTCCGCCCCGCCCCGCCTGGCGTTTGGAGAGGGCGGGGCTCGGGGCGCGCGCAGGGGGCGGGACCGAGGGCGGGGCCGGGGTGACACCCAGCCCTGGTGCGGCCACACCCCTGCAGTCACACCCCTGCAGTCACACCCCTGCAGTCACACCCCTGCAGTCACACCCCTTCAGTCACACCCCTGCAGTCACACCCGCAGCACACTCGTCGCCACGGCCAGGGGCAGCCCCGGCACCGCATCCCCGGCATGGCTGTGCCTGTCTGTTCCCCAGAGCCACATGAGTGCGAGCACAGGTGTGTCCCTGCCCAGGCGTGCCATGTGCTTACAAGCACACAGATATGTCTGTACCCAAGTGTGCTCATACCCAGGTGTGTCCATTCCCAGCTGCGCCCATTCCCAGCTGTGTCCATACCCAGATGTGTCCATTCCCAGGTGTGCCCATGCCCAGATGTGCCCATGCCCAGGTGTGCCCGCACCCACACCTGCACACCCCACATCTGTGTGTGTCTCCCCGGCTGCTGGAGCCCCCCCGGGCTGTTCTGCTGTGCCCAGGAGCACCGGGGGCAGGATCCCGGTGTCCCCACGCCTGATCCTCAGTGTCCCCACCGCAGCTCCCTGGTGTCCCCACTGCAGATCCCCGGTGTCCCCACGGCTGATTCCCCGGTGTCCCCACGGCTGATTCCCCAGTGTCCCCACAGCTGATTCCCCGGTGTCCCCATTGCTGACCCCCGGTGTCCCCATGGCTGATCCCTGTGTCCCCACGGCTGATTCCCCGGTGTCCCCATGGCTGATTCCCCGGTGTCCCCACAGCTGACCCCCGGTGTCCCCATGGCTGATTCCACGGTGTCCCCACAGCTGATCCCCGGTGTCCCCACAGCTGATCCCCGGTGTCCCCATCACAGCTCCCTGGTGTCCCCACAGCTGATCCCCAGTGCCCTCATTGCTGATCCCCAGTGTCCCCATTGCTGATCCCCAGTGTCCCCACAGCTGATCCCCGGTGTCCCCACGGCTGATCCCCGGTGTCCCCACAGCTGATCCCCGTGGCCCCAAGCCCTGTGCACCCCTCCCCACCGCTCACCCCTCCCCTTGGGAGCGTTTCCTAGGCCGGGCCGGGCCGCAATCCCAATGTCCCCTCTCAGTGTCCCTAATGTCCCTAATGTCCCGTTAAACCCCCAGCTCGGCCCCGCCGCCGTTCCGTGCCCGGGGCAAGGTCAGGCCAGCGGGGCGGCGATCCCGATCCCGATCCCGATCCCGCCGCGATAAGGGGCGGCCGGGGCAGCGGGGCCGTGCCAGCCCTGCCCTATCGCTGCCATCGGCCACCGCTGCCACCGCTCCCGGCGCGCCCGTTCCGCTCCAGCGCGGGGACACCGAGAGGGACACCGAGAGGGAGGGGGACACCGAGAGGGGACACCGAGAGGGGACACCGAGAGGGGAGGGGGACAGTGAAGGGGGGCGCCGAGAGGGGAGGGGGACACCGAGAGGGGACACAGAGAGGGGACACCGAGAGGGGAGGGGGACAGTGAAGGCGGGCGCCGAGAGGGGAGGGGGACACCGAGAGGGGACACAGAGAGGGGACACCGAGAGGGGAGGGGGACAGTGAAGGCGGGCGCCGAGAGGAGAGGGGGAGACCGAACGGGAACACCGAGAGGGGACACTGAGTGGGGACATTGAGAGGGGAGGGGGACACCAAGCAGGGACACTGAGTGGGGACACTGAGCAGGGACACTGAGTGGGGAGACTGAGGGGGACATTGAGAGACAACACCGAGCTGGGACAGGAACAGGGGCACTGAGAGGGGACACTGAGAGGGGACACCGAGAGGGGACACCAAGTGTGCTCTGAGGTCCCTTCCAACCCCATCATTCCGTGATTCCTGTGTCCCTTTCCTTCCTTTTGGGGACACCAGGGGGGCTCTGAGGTCCTTTCCAACCCCATCACTCCATGATTCCCGTGTCCCTTCCCTTCCAGCCCCATCATTCCGTGACTCCCGTGTCCCTTCCCGTGTCCCTTCCCTTCCCTTTGGGGTCCCTGCTCACCCCAAATGCAGCTGGTGGGGCTGAAGCTGCCCAGTGCAGGAGAAGCCCCATTTCACCCCAAAAAGCCCCCAGGCAAACCCGAGAGCTGCAGAAAATCCCGTATTTTCCCTTTGGGGTGTGCTGCCCCGGCCATATTCAAATCCCCCATTAAAATTTGCTTCATAGAGAATAAAACCCTCCCCAGGAACTGCTTATCACCCCGAGATGAACTCAAATCCAATTATCCCTCCAGTCCAGGGCCTGCTCCTGCTCCCCTGGCTGCCCCTTATCCCTCCTCAGCATCTGCTTTTGATTTTCCTTTCTTTTGATTGTTTTTCCCAGTTTTTTATGCTCTGATTATCTCTACTCTCAGCACATCTCCATCTCTCCGCCACTTCCCATCTTTTACCTCCATAATTGGGATTTTTTTCCATCTCCCTTCACCTTCCCTGCCCTGCTCCTATTTATTTATCTCGTATTTATTCATCTTTTTGATTTCATGCTCACCTTTGCATTCAATGCATAAGGAGGGTTTTTAATTACCCCTAAATCAATTTCTATATTTTTTATTCCACTCTGGAATCAAAGGGAACACAGGCATCCTTTGCAGCGTTCTCAGAGAGCCTGGGCTGAGTGAAATTTTCCTTTAATTCTTGCTCCAACTTTATTTATTTTTTTTCTTTGAATTTTCCTTCACATTAAATTTTTGTTTTAACATCAATTTTTGCTTTGGCTTTAATTTCTGCCGTAATTTCATTTTTTTTCCCATCAATTTTAATTGAATTTTTTCCTTTCATTTCTCCTTCAACTTTAACCATTCCTTCAATTTTTGAGTAATTTAATTATTTTCCTTTAGTTTCTCCATCGACTTTAACCTTTCCTTCAATTTTTGATTAAATGAATTTTTTCTTCCTCCTCCTCCTGCTCCATGGAATCTCCTGCCCCCAGCTCACCCTGATGCTCTCCTAAAGGACTGGGTGTGAACTCCCAACAAACCCAGCTCCCATCCCAGGGAGAAGCTGGAAAACAACACCAATACAATGACTTTTTTCCTCTTTTTTTCATACTTTTGGTCCAAAATCCCTCTGTCCATCCCAAAGGGAGCAGCAGCTGCTCACCCCAGGAGCTGCCTACCCTGGAGCTGCCCCTCCCTGGGGATGGGAGAAACTCCTTGTTGGGGCTGCAGAGAAATGGGATTTTTATGGGAGACAAGGAAAGTGCTGCAGGAACAGTGGGAACTGCACAATGGGATTGGGATTGGGATTGGGATTGGGACTGGGGATGGGATTGGGATTGGGGATGGGATTGGGGATTGGGGATTGGGGATGGGATTGGGGATGGGATTGGGATTGGGGATGGGATTGGGGATGGGATTGGGGATGGGATTGGGGATGGGATTGGGGATGCTGAGCCAGGCTTTGCTTGGAAACGCTGGGATCCCATTCCCAGAGCTGAGATCCCATTCCCAGGGCTCAGATCCCATTCCCAGAGCTGGGATCCATTCCCAATACTGGAACCCCATTTCCAAGGCTAGGATCCCATCCCCCAAGGCTGAGATCCCATTCCCAGGGTTCAGATCCCATTCCCAGGGCTGAGATCCCATTCCCAAGGCTGGGATCCCATTCCAGGGCTCATTGGGTGTTTGGATCCGTTGTGTGGTGGGAGTGAGAGCAGCCCCAGCCCTGCAGGGAAGGGAAGGGGTGAAAGAAGAGCCAGAGCTGGGAATGCAGCACCTCGAAGGTGGGAGAGGCTGGAAACAACCCAAACCCCTCCAGCCCCGGCTGCTGCCCAAGGCAAGGTGGGAATTGTGTCCCTGTGCCCCTCCCTGAGGTGAGAGCCCACCTGCAGAGCTGCCCCAGCCCTGGGGCCAACAGCAGGAGGACGTGGAGCTGCTGGAGAGAGCCCAGAGGAGGCCCCGGAGCTGCTGCAGGGCTGGAGCCCCTCTGCTCTGGAGCCAGGCTGGCAGAGCTGGGAATGTTGCCCTGGAGAAGGGAAGGCTCCAGGCAGAGCTCAGAGCCCCTGGCAGGGCCTGCAGGGGCTCCAGGAGAGCTGCAGAGGGGCTGGGGACAAGGCCTGCAGGGACAGGAGCCAGGGAATGGCTCCCACTGGGAAAGGGGAGATTGGGCTGGGATCTTGGCAAGGAATTCCTGGCTGGGCTGGAATTCCCAGATTTGCTGGGGCTGCCCCTGGATCCCTGGCAGTGCCCAAGGCCAGGTTGGACATTGGGGCTTGGATCCACCTGGGATAGTGGGAGGTGTCCCTGCCATGGAACTGGAGGAGCTTTTTGTTCCCTTCCAACCCAGAACACTCCACGGTTCCATGACATCTCTTCCCAAGGATGCACATCCCTGCAAATATTCCCAAACCATCAAAACACCCCCGAACCCAGACACACGGACCGGGACCGACAGCAACACCCAAAGCCCCCCAGCCCCAATTCCTTGGAATAGAAGCAGCAAAACTTGTTCCCATCCATTGGGAAGGGGCTGGCAGTGCAGAATTCCCAGCTGGCAGTGCAGGGGTGCCCGGGAATGGAGGGAGGGAGCTGAGGGGAGCCGTGGGGGAAGGGGCCTGAGCC